AAAGAAGGCCCAGGACAGAGTAGGTTGGAGAATGCTGGTCGGCGGCCTATGCTTCATTGGGAGTAACAGGCGTAAGTAAGTAAGTATCATTACAACAGGTAATTGAGAACGAGAGAGGTTGACGCTCATTTCTCTCTAGCATGTAGGAGCACTCTCAGCTGCTACATTCCCCACCAGCCATTTGGCTTTACCTTGTTCCTAAAACACATTTTTGTTAAACTTCTCCGGTATCGTTCCCACCGATTTTTAATCATAACTGTAGTTGGTTGTTTTGTACATAAAGGAAAGCTTCAGAAGTAGCATTGGCATAAGATGAATCTTAAGGAGAAAATTATATAAGAAAGCATAAATCTCCATCGGCCTATATAAATTCTTTAAAATTTTGAAAAACACAACTCTTTTTACCGAACTTCTTAAAGTCAGTCTCTTAGTAAATAAATCAGTTACATTATGTCGACGCATTTTATGCATTCCATACTGATATGATTCGTCAATCTTCAGTCTTCAGTAATAAGGATAGCAGGTTAGTGAATCTGTGTTAATCCTAACAGGTTGGCTTCCAGTGAAGGTCAAGTTTCTCTTTGAAAATATTCACTGATGGGGCTGATACCACTTGATCGGGCAAAGCGTTCCAATCATTGACTACTCGATGAGAAAAACGGAACCCCACCTTGAGTTTATTAGATCGTGGTTTATGAACCTTCTTGCTATGACCTCGGAGATTATTAGTGCTGGAGGGAGCAAAAAGATAAGACATATTAACACCCAAATCATAATTAAAGATACGAAATGCCAGTATAAGGTCACCTCGAGTCCTACGATACGACAAGGGGAAAAGGTTTAAGCGTTTTAAACGCTCATCGTAAGGGAGTTTAGAAAGACCCTTCACTAATTTCGTTCCCACACGCTGGACACGCTCAAGTGAGGTAGTATCCTTTATCAGACATGGGCTAGCTGCTTGAATACAGTACTCTAAATGTGGTCTTACATAGGTGGGATACAAAATTCGAAACATTTCCTCGTCAAAGGATTTGAACGCTCGGCGAAGTGACCACAACGCACGAAAACCTTTGACAGCGGCTGCGTTGCAGTGCGCAGTTGTTTTTAAATCATGACTTATTATTACTCCTAAGTCTTTATGTTCTTGAACGCATGGAAGAGGTTTACCATCAATAGTATAATGGTAACTATTGCCGTGACCGATTTGCATTAGCACACTCTTCCTAGAATTGATTTCTAAACTCCGATCTCGAGCCCATCTAACTAAATCGTCTAAGTCAGCTTGAAGATCCAGATGATCAGCCTCACCTCCTATTGCTCTCCATATTTTGACATCATCCGCAAATAATAATGTCGACGACCTAAGCAACAGCGGTAATTCATTTACGTAGAGAAGGAATAACAGAGGGCCTAATATGGTGCCTTGGGGTACACCACTTTTGACCGGCTTCCAATCGGATAGCGTCCCATTGACCCTCACTCTCTGTCTGCGGTCACGTAAGAATTTTCCTATCCACTCCTGTACAGTACCTATTATTCCGAAGCTTGTGAGCTTCTGCATAAGACCTGAGTGTGAAACCTTGTCAAATGCTTTGCTAAAATCTATGAATATAACATCGACAGACAAACCTTTATCTAAGGCTGCTGTCCAATCCTCTCTCGCAATAAGTAAGTTAGTCAAGCATGAACGCTTATCACGAAATCCATGTTGCTCAGGAGCTAACAGATTGTGTGAATCTATGTGGCTTAGCAACCTAACCCGAATTATCTTTTCAAGTAACTTAACGACAATGCTAGTCAGACTGACAGGTCGGTAGTTAGATACGATGTGTCTCTGACCATCCTTAAATATAGGACTGACAATAGCATCTTTCCAATCCCTAGGTAGTTGAGCGAGTGAAAGGGACATGTTAAAGAGTGTCGCGAGCGGTTTTGAAATAATGTCTGCAAGAGATGACAGCAGTCGTGGATGTAACCCGTCAGAACCCGGTATCTTACAAGGTTTGAGGTTAATTATTAACGGAAGGACAGTTTCTTCAGTCACCTGTACAGATTCAATGGCTGGTATCTCGGCGTAATTGGGACAAGTATTTGTTACAATAAACGTAGAGTAGACTTTGCTAAAGTAGTTTGAAAATGTCTCAGCTTTTGCTCGATCTGATTCAGCTAGTAAACCTGAATTATCGTGTAACAATAATGGGGGAATACTATCACTACGTTTTATTGGCCGTTTAACATACGAAAACAATCGTTTTGGACAAGTACGGCTATCATATACCAACTGTCGTTCGTAAGTAATATGGGATTTAGCTATTGTTTTCTTACAAATATTCCGCAGTTTTTGGTACTCACGCTTAAGAGAGGCATGACCTGTCAACAAGAATAAGTCCCAGAAGTGTTTCCTACGCTTTAACAGCTTACGAGTTTCCTTATTAATCCATGGGGGGGCAATGCGATAGCTTGCGTGCTGACCATGGGATAAACGGCGACGTTACGGACTCGAATGTAGCCCTAAACTTAATCCATTCGTCTTTGATCGATCCATCTGCGTCAACCGACCAATCAGTAGAGATCGCACAATCTCTGATTGCCGGAATATTAGCCCGCCAGATATTGGGACGGGGTGGAGCAGATACAAATCGTATACCATGTGTCCTAAACTTAAAGTGAAGTACAACGTGATCACTGTTCACTAGTGGAGGAAGGTGCTGAATATCAAAGACGTCCTCACAGTGGTGGGTGAGGGCGAGGTCCAGCAGTGACGGATCACGTTTCAGATCAATATGTGTCGGTTTAGTGATACATTGGACAAGTGCACACTGAATAACTGTTGATAAAAGTTCGTTATCAAAACCTCCACCTGGAGCTGTAAGCTCAATCCAGTTTATGTGCGGAGCGTTGAAGTCCCCAATGATGAGATAACATTCTGCCATACTCCAAGAACAGATGTGTCTTAAGATAAAGTCGTCAGCAAGACAACACGGACTACGGTATATTCCGCCTATAGTCGCTAACCCATTTCTAGATTTAATCTTACAACATGCTACCTCACATGTACCACTAACATGAGCCTCCGATATGATTTATTGTATACGAAAGTGGTCCTCAATGTATAACATTATGCCTCCCCTCTTGCGGCTTAAAACTCTATCACTTCTAATACAGATATAGCCTGCAATGATGGTAGAACATTCTATATCTACGGTGAACCAAGTTTCTGTAATGACAATTATATCGGGACTTAATTCATCCACCATCAGACTTAGCTCGGACGTTTTATTCCTAAGACTACGGGCGTTCGTGTAGCACACACTTAAGGTGTTTTGATAATCGTTCGTTCTACCCATACAGGCCTCGGAAGCATTGGCTTCCAAGACCTGACTACCCGAAAACCCTTAATGGTAAGGTTGGTTTCGCCATTTAACTTGCGAGTTCTTAACTACGTAAGAGCATTCTTCAACTTGATTCGATCCTCAAGCGGCCAATCTGGTCGGATACGAATATTTGAATCACGAATTTTTTGTGCGTTTTTCAATAATACGTCTCTTTCTTCAAAACTCCCTAGAACCAGCTTCAAGATCCTTCTTGGTTGGGTCTCGCCTCCAACCCGTTTACCGAGTCGTATCACTTTCGTGATATGTACTCCTGAAACCTCTTCAGGTAGTACGTTTCTTACCACGGATTCTACTAACTTCAGATCATGTGCATGTCTCTTAGTAGGATCGTTGTCTATCGACTCCTCTAGATTCCAAATAATTAAGCTAGGGAGTGGTTTAGTTTCTTTAGGAATCGTGTTTACAGCTATCGATCGTGACCTAACATCCTGTATATTAACTACTGGTATCTTACGATTAGTTTTTATTGTAACAGAGTCATTGGAGTCGAGCGAGTGACTCACAACAATGTTTGACGAGGCTTTACTTTGGGACTTTGGCGGAGTGGTCTGAGAGTCCACCAAAGACTTATCAAGTAAACGGTCCTTACTTTTAGCTGTCTTTCCTACTCTTCTGCGTTTACACGTCATCCATATTCCGTCAGCCGTAGCATCTACATTGGAACTGCTCGGGACAATAATTGTTTTATCTGGATCACCAGTTGCTGCTGTAGCAACATGGCCACCAATATCTAATGAGGTGTCACTCATTGATTGTTTCGAGGTAAAAATTTTGATCTCGGGTTGCGCAGTTAGATGTCTGGCTTGCGCCGTGACAGAACTTACGACACTAACGCGATCTTCGCTATCAGCACCAATATTGTCAGTGCAGCCCTCGTCAACCTTCTTATTAGCCAACAACAGGAGGCTAATGGCTTCCTGGATGAGTGTTGTTTTGTTTGAGCAACAAAAACTACAAAGCCAATGAGAGTTGGGCTTCGAGCACCTTTTATATGCAGCGGGGCTTAGTCGGGTGCACATCTTGTGGAACCACTTCTTACACTCATCACATTGCATCCCTTCCTCCACGGGGAATAAGCAACATGGTTGTCCACATTTATGAGCCGATTTGGCCATCTTGAAAACCAAATACAATGGTGACACAAAGAGGATATGTAAAAAAAATGCTAAAACCTTGACTAAATTATCAAGTGAAAGTCGACCAAGTATGCTTTGGTGCAATAATTACACAAAAGCAGAATCAAAACAATCAATAAAATATCACTTTAACTGGAATAGATTCAATTAAAGTGTAAACAGTAGTTTTGATGCGTAATTTACGATCAAAACAGTTAATTAACTCAACGAGAAACAATACCACTGTCCTTTTAGATAGCGCGCCTGACACAACCGTTAATATATTTACGTATTTGACACAATAAACTGATTTAAGGATTGCAAGCAACAGTGGTTACCGGGTTTTGGGTGAAATCATCTTCTTTCAGAGCTTTAACACGAAGTTTGTTTAAGCTGTGTGCAAACAAAATCTGATGACCTACAGCATATAGGTGATTTTCAAAAGTAATGGACTTGCTATTGAAGTGTTCGGGAGTCAGATCGTAGACTTATGATCGACAACAAAAGACTTTCTACTAAAATAACAGGCCCTTCATGCACAGTTGTTTCTGATAAATCAATAGTTACGGTCGGCCGTAAAAGCCATATTCCTGTAGACGTATGTCTTGACGATTCTGAATGTGTATCGCGCAAGCATCTAGAAATACACAGAAAAAACAAGGATATATATCTTAGATGTCTTAGTAAAAACGGAATATTTATAGATGGATCCTTTCATATTGGAAAGCCGGATTTCGTTCTTTTAGCTGATGGGTAAGTAATACCAGTAGTTAGAATAATTATTTATTTATCATGATCTAGGTGTAAATTAAGGTTTCCGAGTACAAATATCGTGATTATCGTGGAAGTGGTCGAACTTGAACCCTTTTGCCACCCTAAAAAGCGGGCATCTTGGAGATCTCCACTTAATCACACCAATCGTGGCGAGACTACATTGAGTACTGACCAAAACATTAGGTGAGTAAATTCCCAGTAGCATATGTACATACGCTATTCTATCAAATTACTGTGTTCTCCAAAATCTTTCGTGTGCTCTGAATAATTCATTTCGAATAGTTTGCTTTATAGATTCACAAACTCAAATTGTCTAACTTTATCAGTGGTAATTCCGTAAATGTGTATAAAAACAAATTAGTCTTTTCACGCTCTTCCTGCAAATTACTCTTGTTACTATTTTAACTTTGAGTGCGCATCTAAGCTCACGGTGAATTGTTCTTTGAGTTTAAGTGGTATACGTATGTACCATTTTGTTTGAGCTTAGCATTCATGCCAGGTAAAAATTTCTTGATCATCTAGCGTGCTCTCCTCAGTGTGTGAAATAATCCATAAAGAATTCGGGCCCGTGATGTCCACTCGATATTAATTCATATTTTAACTTCCGTGTATCAATCCTGTTTGATTGCTGAAATATTTAATCAGTGATATGTGGCTATTTACGTTCTGCATAAGTGTTATATCTATCCTCGGTTTCCCTTTACTAAGAATCCGAATATGTCATGTTTGAGCTAAATTTTCCGCTCCTTAAAATATAGATGTGTTGTTTTGTCTTTGGAGTTTTACTTTCTATTGTTCGAATTCCCATCTACAGTAGAGTATAATTTTAGGACTCAATAAGTAACTTTTTATTATCATTACTACTTGATAAAGCATCATTAATTGAAATCATGAACCGGTCAAGGATTATGACTCGGTATCTTTACTCAAAATTTGTTCACAGTCATGTGGAGGTAGCCGCTTTTAACCCACAGGTCTTATGGAGAGTTTTATTAGATTTTAGATGTGTGACGTGGGGACCCACGCAAATAAAAAAATTAATAATAACACCAAACATAAAGATCCGTGACAAATTTGTCATTTGACATGCAAACACAGTATTCACGACGCATTGTAGTTAATAAAGTAATAATATCCAAAAAATATAAATAAAGTAGACGGAAGCAGACCACTAGTGTGAGAATTAAGAGTGCTCGCTCACTTAACAATAATCTTTAAAATAAGATATAAATAAAGATCAAGTTAATACGAATTAATAGATTAAGGTTGAGTTTATTCATATTTCGTCAAAATTTGTTGAGTCTTATCCACTACTTGTTCCTTGTATATTTTGTCTTCCTCATTAAAACATAACTCAATAACATATGTTCTAACAGAATACGGAATTATTAGCTTTCCACAATCATCTAATTTTAGGACGATGTTCTTTTTCATAAATCCTTCACCAATTATAATAATAATCACTTCATTCATATGTTAATACCGACCTTGTCTCATAACAGGAAAAAATCTTTGATAGACAGTCGTGTGTCTCACTGATGTCAATAATAATACAGACAAGCGATTACGAACGAACCTCCCCTACGCATGTGGAGATTTCGTCGGAGATCGACGTGTTGCTAATGGGACAAATCCAAATAAGTAAAATCTTACTTATATCTAATCGCTTTGTTCTCTAATCATAAGCTAGCTGTCAGTACAAAACAGCAGTTAACATCTTGCATTTCTCAAACACGAAAATCATGCTAAACACCCTAAAGTTTGATTTGTTTTGAAAAGATCTCTGGATCTGTCAGTATCTTTGTTTTTCAGGACCTTGTCGTTTAATTTAGTTATATCAAGATATTTACAAGTATTAAATCGACCGGAGAAATGTTGAAACATGTGTATAGTAAGGTTAAGCAAAATTATTGACGATCATTACTCCAGACAGATGCTCCACATCATCACTTCAAAGAACAATTCTTCTATGCGGCTATATGAGCTTGAATAAAGTGTCTTTGGTAGCATAACACATTGTTACGGCACTCTCTACAAAGTTTGGTACCCCTAAAAGGCTTTTCGATCGATGAAGTCAGAAATTTCCCTGAAGTCGTATAAATCTTCACTCTAGAACAATAACAAGTATGATTGTATTAATGAACCCGGTAGTGTCAAAATTTTGTTACTTTAAACCATCAGCATAGAACTTATTTAGTTTTCATGAGTTTGCTGAATGTCAAATATCTACGATTTTCGGCAGCATATCACTCAAACGGATTCCTGCAGGGTCGTCTCAGGAGTATTTATGTCAATTCTCATAAACTGAAACTGTCGCCCCCAGTGAGCAGTCTGTTGAGATGACTTTCTATTTCCGTATTTAATCCCAAAGAACGGTTTTCCAACCTACTCATTTTATTTACTAGCCTTTTTTAACTGGATATTGTTGTACATGGATCCCATTCTATAAAAGAATCTATAGTACAGTGCCCCTAAAAACTAGGCCTAACGGTCAGGTATTAATTTACTGAAAGATTGATGACCTAAAGGCCGATTTCTTCCAGTCGCCTGCGACATTTTATCATATTTATTTTTTGTCCGTATTTTCTATATAACCATGCTACTTTACTAAATAAAAAACCTATTCATCTAGCTAGCGGTCTTGTCCTTATTTCTAATCATTCGGGGACTTCAGTCAATAAAATGGTCCCATGTGCAACCATCACTCGGCCATATCGTATCACCGCATCCATCTGCCGATTATCATTATGTTTATTGACTATAATAATTGAAAACCTCGTCTCATCAAACTACCGAAAACCTCAATAATCAGATTTGTCAAATTTTCATGTGACTTAAAAGAATTGCTTTCAAAGTATTGTTGTGCGTATTCTTGTTACATGTACGTTGTAAATGATGGCGGACTAAGCTACTTCTCCTTTCCGAATGATTTTGTGAATAGAATTGGTCACTTATGTGATTGGTGAGTATCAAATATCAACGCGATTGTAGCTTGTTTATTTTGGTACTTGATTTCAATCATCAAATCGGCCTCAAACATTGTTTTTACTTGAAAGTAGGTGACCAGTTAGTACTTTTTGGAAGTAACTATGTGGTGTGGGTATTCTGCACCCGATAACCAGGTTATAGGTTTAAACCAAATCACGCTTTATTTCTGAAAACCACTATCATCCCTAGCCCTTACATGACAAACGTGAACTGAAACCGATTACCTAATTATTCAGTTGAATTGCTTATGTTTGTCAAGGATAATAACCGATGACGTTCTCATATTATTTGTAGTCTGCATTCTAGTTCACGACCTTGTTTTTAACTACAGAGTTGTTTTTAGTTTGAAATAATGTACTCATTCTGTCGGTTTCGATAGTCTTAAAGTGTTTGACAGTTTCTTAATAAATTATGACACTTTTAAATACCTACATTACGTTTAGTGCTATTTTGTAGAAAAGCATAAACACAACAAAGTAAAATCTGATGTATAATAGTTTAAGTGTGTTTACCTAGCAACCATGAAAGCAAATTTACACCACTTCTTATTTCGGATTTAATTTCTTATAAAGTGTTATTCATACTAAACGTTCAGTAGCCTTATTTAAAACTTGTTTGTATGCCTTGTTATATTTTCATATACTTACACTTCTGTTTTGCAGAAATATGACAGATCCACTAATTTCATCAATTCTAAAGTCCAAAGGATTTGAAGATAATTCCCATTCTTCATTTTGTTTTGAGTCCGAAAATTGTCGAAATACTCCCGAAAAAAAACATGATGTTTCATGTAACAACTTAAATGATAATCAGAATACTATTTCCGATTTATCCCTTAATAGTCTTCAGGGTCCAGCCACCTCAAACTGTGCTTTATTACCAGTTGAACCATTATTTGTACAAACAGATCAAAATTTCAATATTCCAGCCATCAGAGCAGCTACAACAGTCCTTCAGAATCTTATTCAAAATGATAATCAACCTAAATCCTTAAATATCGATGGTGAATCACTATTTCGAAGTGAAAATTCAGATGTCGTAACTAAAATGAATCATATCGCAAGATTGTTTGCTTTTAATTCACTTGCACAACTATCCCAGTTGGATGCACACAAAAGTAGTACTTTAACATTACCTAACTTGGTGAATTTTCCTTCTCATCAACTATATGACTCCAGATCGACTGAACTCAGTAAGCTATATAATTTGCTTTTGATTTCGCTATTAAAAATAATTGGCTCAAAAATGTTTATGGTACGATAGTGTTCTAGTTTCAAAATTAACATGTTATTGTCTCCTAACGTTTTTATGAAGAAACTACGTAAGCCTACTTGTTAATGTCTGTTGTCTATTATTGGTGACGGTAGTATGATTCCAAATCTTTCACAATGGTACTCCCACATATTCTCTTAAATTACTTACTTATGCCTGCTACACCTCGTGGAGGAACATCAGTCAGTCAGTCAGCTGCAACGTAGGACCAGGCATGTATATGCATCGGTCCAAGTTGCCATACCGCATTAGCACTACAAGATGAACACCGGATTCATAGAAGTAGTTAATTCAGTGGTGGTTATTCATAGAAGAAAGATTGTGTATAAGGAGATAGTACAGGAAGAAAGAATTAGTTCCTAGAAAGAAAGATTTTAAGTGATTTTAATCTTTTAATTTAAAGGAAGACAGAGAGTGTATACACCGACGCCATTGTGATCGATTCTGAGCCATGTCACCAAGAGTCTCCAACCATTGATTACGATAGTCACGCGGACCAGGCAGTCTGAATCTTCCAACATGGCTCAGACCAGAAGTTAGTGACTTGAAACACTGATGCCACGTTTTGGTTTGGCCGCTCCTAACTTTCTTCCAATCATCCCTAACACCGGTTACCATTGCGCGTCGTGGTGATCGGTGTTCAGGCATACGCAGCATGTGACCCAACCATCTCAGTCGATGAAGATTCACAACCTCATCAACTGATTTACCATCATTTCCTAATACCCTGCGTCTAACCTCACTATTACTTACCCGGTGATCCCAGCAGATACCCGCAATATTTCTAAGGCACCTGTGGTCAAATACTAGTAACTTACGAATATCTTCTACTCTTAAAGGCCAAGTTTCGCAGCCGTATAGTAGAACGGAACGAACTGCCGCGCAGTATACTCGTCCCTTAATTGATAGACGGATATCTCGCCTACGCCATAGATGACGTAAGTTGGCAAAGGCCAAACGAGCTTTTCGAATCCGTGCTGAGATTTCGTCAGACACCAACCCATTAGGGCTGATCAGACTTCCAAGATAAGTGAAGTTGTCGACGCGTTCGATTACTTCACTTCCTATCCTTAGTTCAGGTGTTGACGCAGGCCAGTCCTGAAGCAACAACTTGCATTTAGAGGGAGAGAAGCGCATCCCAAACATTCTGGCATTGTTGCTCAGTGCTACCAAAAGACTGCATTTCATCAGCGTCTTCACCCAACAGGACTATGTCATCTGCGTATTCTAAGTCAATAAGTGGACCTCCTGGAAGGAGATCAATACCCGAGAAGTCAGTCGATGAGAGCGTTATTTCCATCAGTAGATCTATGATGAAGTCAAACAAAAATGGAGAAAGTGGACAGCCTTGACGGACACCACTTGAGGTTGCAAAAGCAGATGACAGTTCGGCATAAGCTCTGACCCGACTAGTCGTGTTGCTACCTTGATGTGGTGGTCGGGCTTGCCTATCGTGATGAAGCAACTGAGCTATACTAGCTGAAACAACCGTTCCTTAAGGTCCTACCATGCCCGAGATCTGACTTCAATTTGATCGTATGAATGATTGCTATCGCCTATCCTCGTATATAATCATTGACTTAAATCGCGTTAGTTAATAACGGAATTAAATAAGTCAAATAACGAGAATGGAGTTTTGAATGCATATATTTTGTATAATTGTTGATTAGAGAAACAAACGGAGGAACGATGCGAAGATGAGAAAGCGAAGCTAAATTGGCGCGCGGTGGAAATGGCTGGTAAGCCAACTCCCTGTTAACCAAGCGTTAATCAATATCTATAAGCACACAAAAATAAATTACAGACATGTGATGAGTAATGGGATAAGAAGTGTACATACACCTACGCGCTCATATAAAGACGGTCAAGATATTGATAAGCGAATAATTAACAAGGTCAGAATGTGACTCAAATAGAATGAATAGAATGGGCTGTCCGAAAGTTGGAATAATAAGGTATTTGGGCTTAACATAACGACAGACACTACACTACCATGCCAGACAGGTCGGTTAAAGAGCGGTAAGACTAAAAGCAACAAAACCGAGGTCCGAAGGTGAAGTCATACTGCTGACTGTACAGAGTTGTGACAGCAGTAAGGTGTTTCGTTCAGACAACCAGCATGACAGCGATGCTGCCTTCCCACAAGGAGTGGTGGGGTTAGAAAAGGTCGACCCTAAAAATGCACACCTCGCCTTATCCCACGGATATCCGTCTCCGGCGGTAAGGTCTCAACAAGTATGGAGCTAACACAAAAACTACTCATAAAAAGGTCGTGTGTGACCGACCTCAAGCAGCTGTCCCTTGGGCACTGCGGTCACGCTCTCAGGTCACTGTGACCACCTCTAATCCAATTTCTTTTTCAGGTACCTCCAGCAGAACCCTTCCACGGTGTGGGCAACCGGGAAGTGATAACCGCCCTCATACCTCTAACAGCACTCAAGACCACTGTGGATAAACATAGTTTAAACAGTAAACACCTTAATACTCCGCATTTATTTTGTATTCCCACAACTTTTTGTCTTCTTCCTTTTATTTTCCTACTACTATCTGCATCAATATTTTCACTTGTTTTTTCCTCTGTCGATTCCCCACCTCTCTAGTGTTTCATACCACCTCTGCCCTTCATCGTTTGTCCTTTAGTAAATACATCATCCACGAATACATCTTACTCTTATTTGTTATCTGTACTTCTGAAAATATTTAACTAGGCCAGTAGCACATATTTTCGAGTTCCATTTATCTATATAATCAAACCACAACAGGTCTGTCAAAATTCATTTAATTTGCCATAAGATTTATTCTTAATTACGTTATACCTCACTTCTAATGACAATCTTTGAAAGTATCTTCTATTTACTCAATTCAGTTTTATAAAGCTCTCAACATTTACAGACAATTAGTTGAAACGGAGTAAGAAATATGAAATATTGTAAATGAAAACGGCAATAATGTTTCTAAAACTATGAATGTTTACACAAATGATGAGTCCTAATGTATAAATAGTGCTTTTTAATTTTCATAAAAGAAATTCCCATTACAAGTCGGTGTAAAATAAGAAGTTGAACCTTCATAGTAGTTGGTGATAAGCACAGGTCGACATACCATTTATTATCTTATGATCCTTTAGACTGTACACATTACTCGCTTTAAATTATGTTCTTCTAAATACATCACAAATATTCTCACTTTGTTATTTAAACACTATTGTGGACTCGAACTTGGCTGTGTATGCTTCATTTTGTCGACTGAATAGTATCATAATAAAATTTTCACAAAGCCTAATGGATGAATATACACTTGATTATTTAGTTCCAGTCTATGAGTCATCTTGTACTACAAATACAAAAAATTTTTGTCTTAGTATTTTCTGACTATATATCAAGATTTTAAGTTTGTCTTTGATTTTTCAAAAAACTGTCTGTCTTACCAGTCACGATCACATCTCTGTTCCTGATTCTTCATGGTGTCATATAGAACTACAATAGATCCTCCAGTTATCAAAACAAGGGGTGTTCATGAAATATTCCCTTCTTTTGTCTGACTATACCATAATTAAATTTTCTTTCAGTTTTGTGTAAGTTACTTAACATTATAATGACATCTCAGAGATATTTATTTTTGTGTGTACCCAGATAATATGTATGAAACTTACAACTCTTCTAGGCACCCTAAAACCTGTGAATATTTGATATTTTCAAAACCTTCAACTATAAATTAAATCAATGGTGAGTAAATAATTTGGCGAACTAATAGTTGATGAAATCTCAAAAACTGATTGATCACTGAGTAGTAGGGACCAAGGCCATATTTGTCTAGTCCTTTATTGTCGACTAAGTTCTATTGTTTAAGTTGTAGTGTGTTCATTAGTTAAAAGTGACTCGAAGTCGAGTGTACTAGGTTGTTGCAGATAGCAGAAAACCCTGAACTTAAATTTTGTTCTAGTTAGTACTTGTCAGCAAGGTGTACCTGTAATCCTGAAGCTATTAATGTTCTTTGGGGGATTAGAACCTGAAAACCTTAGCTTCACAGATTGAACATGTAAGCCCTTCGGCTTGTACTAACACTGACACTGCTAAAATATACACATAAGCTGGCTATCAATTATGCTAGGTAGTAATATATATTGTTCTGTAATCTGTATCAAAAGGTCAATAAGGGTTAAATATATTTTAATAAATGAGTATCCTAAATTCTAATTCACTTCTATTATTATTAACCAACCAATTAATCAACAGTAGTGATTTTTAATCATTTAAAGCATGCCACATGTACTTTAGATTTTATTTGGGTTTTTTTCTAACACTTTACATACATTTGCTTAATATTAGTTAAGATTTACCTGTAATCTGTTACTTCTAATCGTTTTAGATTGAATATCGTGTAGAAAAAAGGCAACAAAATGAGAATATAGATTGTTTAACACATTTCTTTAGTAGTGTTTATATATATATATATGTCTTGCTTGTAAATTGTAAGACTAGTGTCCTTATGATATTTTTTTTCTATTTTAGGTTAGACATTAGCGTACTTTATGTGGCCTTGTTTTTTTTCTTACCTAATAAAAACAAACAAAAATCACACTTTTGCCTAGATAAGATTATTAACTGATAATGGAAAATAAAATTAGTGTTTATGTTTGTCTAAATCACCTGGGTATATTTATAAATATTCTTCTTACCTACTACTACCATTACTAATACTAATACTTCTACTTTATACTTGAGTTTATGTAAGTGTTAGTATGGATATTATTATTGTTTACAATAAATGAACTTTAAATAATAAGCTAATACTTGTCAGCCTGATTTGTCTCATTTCAGTGGAGGTTGTTGAATTTTATTTATACCATAGACTGAATTTAATTACATAACCGTTGGAGATCAGAAGACACTGAATAGCTATTTCGACCTAGTATTAGAACCTTCAATCTAAAGACACGACCTCGCTATAGGTCTAACTCAGGGTCTTTCAGGTATTGCGGCTAGCGCCTAACCTTTAAACCACTAAAGCATCTTCTAACATTTAAAATGTTTATTTTCAAATAGTTTGCTATATTCCGTCGTTATCTCCTCATATTATCGATGGATGAATGCATCATAACCCTTCTGGTTAAACACTACTAGTTACGGCTTTTCAATAGAGCTCGGGCAACTATCATTCGAAATCAGCCATTGGTGACCACATGATAACTTTCAATGCAGGGTGTTTGTGAGAGTTCTATCCTTGGTGGAGTGGTGGATATGCACCTCTGAGGAATCCCATATCATGACGAAACACCTATCTACTGTTTTCTACTTTTCAGTGGCTCATTGCTCATTGATGTAAATAGAGATATATTCATTTTAATAATACGCTTTAGTAATACATGGTTAACACAAATTGACACTTATAAAAGGTCCGATGGAAGAGTCCCACTTTTATCTGTAACATGCTCAGATTCAGGCTAACAAACCTAGTTTTATTTGTCTCCAAAAATTAGCTTGTAATATCTCTATCTCTTCATTGACTAGAACAAACCTAACACACGATATTACTAATTAATTTTACCACTTGTTTGTTTCTTCCTTCTTTACCATCTGTGTGCTGTAAACTGGCCATTCATTCATTTTATATTGCGTAATTTTTAATGATTGTCATTTTAGTAAGTTCATTTTTAAAGCTTGAACCTAATTTGTACACAAGTACACTTCCATACTTTGGATTACAAACTTGTCTTAGATAAACCTCCATTGAAACATTAAAGCACTGGATGGCCGACTCTGTAGTCTACCGGTTAAGCGTTCGAGCGAGAGACTAAAGACCTTGGACTAGATTCCCAGATGTGGAATGGTAGATAAATACTAATGACGAGTCCTATGTCATGACGAAATAGATGTCCATTGCTTCATAGTTTTCAATGGTTGTCTAACAAAGGTCGGTCGTAATGTAAAACTTTAAATTCAATAATCTCCACAACAAATTTTCAATAACAGTTATGTATTGACGTGAATTTTGTCTGGTTTTTTCTAGAAAAATTCCTATTTATCATTAATTTGCAGATTGTTCTACATTCGACCATGGCTTATCAGATTTAATGAAAAATCCCTTCGTATTGTCATCTAACTCTCCGGAATCTCAATTTAAAAAATCCGATATCATTGAACAAAACACCTTGACAGTAGACGATTTAGATGACACTGTCGATTCAAGTGTAGTTGCAATACACCAGGAAGTCACAACATATTGTAATGATGATCATAATGACGATGGCAGTAATAATAATAATGGTTGCAATATTCAGGAAAGCGAACCAACTATTAATAAGTTAGCTGCAAATTTAGCTTCAACAACCGCAATTGATCGAGGCTCAACATTTCGTAAACCGCCTTATTCTTATGCTCAATTAATTATTCAAGCTATCGCATCGGCGCCTAATCAACGTCTAACTTTAGCTGATATTTATGCTCATATTTCAAAAACATTTCCATATTATAAACCACATGAAAAAGGTTGGCAGGTAGGCGACTTGAAATCAGTTTGTCATTTCTGTATTTGTTTGTCTTTTCTTGAAACTAATTGTTTTCTCTTACTGCAAACATGCAGTGATAATAATCCGATCACACATTTACTTATTAGAACATTTGATTCATAAAAAAATAAAAGGTCAAAATAGACAAATAGAAAGATAAAAGAAAAACAATATGAATTACCCTACACTTTAGATAAAAAATCAATATTATCAAGGGTTTGTTTTGTGTGTAAGTAAAAGTTATTTTGAAACACACACGAGCGGGGTCAGGCGGATTGAAAATTTGTATAGCTATGGCTTTAATAAATTTAAGTATTTGCCTTATCTTGGACCATTTTTATGTAAAAATCACAAAGCTGAGTTAAGATTAATCTGATGATCTGTCTCAACTGTGTATTTAACAAGGAACAAAAATGGGGTTTTGTTGTGTGCTCTTATTGAGGTTATTTGACCCAATGATGATAAATTTGATGAACTGTTAATGTCGATAGGTTTACAAAATACTATTTTTCTAATGATTGGTTTAGTTAAATGGCATTTCTGCTTTCCTTGTACAGTTCATAATATCTAGTCACCTCATCTCCTGATATACAGTGATAGCTGAAGTAGAATTAGATTAGAAGTAACAAAGTTTACCCAAATTAAGGTATGTAGTCACTCAATGTCTATTTAAATCCAACTAATTCAGTATGTATTCTTCCAGGCCATGCAAACAAATAGTTGAATACCGTAGGTGACTTTGTTATACCGGCACAATCTACTTGAGATAATAAAATACACTATAATTATTGACACTTCAGCATTGGTAATTTTGCTCAAGAGGTCGATTCTCCAAAAGTCCCGACCGAACAGACATCAAATAGGCTGAACTGAACTAACCAATGAACTAAATATATGTAATTATTCATCTGATACTTAACTATTGCTTGTGATTAGCAAACGCGGTAAAATCAGACTCATTGCAGATCTGGATTTAGATGTATTAACTAGATTTTCACCTTTCATCAGGTTCTAGAACTTTAACATACCTCACGATGTTCGACTATAGTGATACTTCTTGACCCTAAGGGGAGCATACAATCTTGTTGATTGACGGGTTTTATATCAATGTATCACTAGAAAATTAACTCAAAAAATATATGAACCTCATGAAATTTAGCTATTATTTACGTACATAGTACTTAGTCAAAGCAGTATAATCAAAAAGTGTTAATTGTCCAGTCAACCGAAAATTCATCAAAGATAAAACACAACTTCACGAAGTGCTCATTGTCTGCCGTAACAAATACATGATATATAATTTACAGCATTACTGCTCTCTTGGTTTGATATGTGCTTTTCTTGTTTTAAGTTTAGTGATGGTAATTTTAATTAGTTGAGATAATATATATAGTCATGTTATAGGTATTAACTGTAATTGAAGTTTAGGCCATAACCAGATCTGTCGTTCTGTAAAATTTAATAATTAGTACTGTCATTAATCAATTTTACGCTTATCTCAAAACATTAACTGCAGTTCATAATGAAGGAATCATGAACGAAGAGTAAGAATATATTGTGCAGATAGATTTATCCAATAAACGTTAAAAAATTAAAAGAAATTTGCTAAATGCTTCCAAAATCATATTTCTTTTTGAGTTTGTAAGTTCCCATCTTGCTGCAGTGCGCAATATATAAAAATTCCATTTACATTCATGACATATTTCTTTTTATTATCTTAATGTGGTGTAGTAGCTTAGTGGTTAAGGGGTTTAACTTTCAACCATTAAGACCGAAGTTCGGACCTCACTCCACTTCGGCTTGAGCAGCTGAATGGTATAGTTAGCTATCATATTTAGAGTATAGCTCACTCCTAATTACCTGGTGAGTGAGTTGCAATAGACTAAGTATTGGGAAAGTTAAAACTCGTTTACAGACCATTGTATTTCTGTATTCATTGTATTATAAGCTTCCTTCAGACCTTTTAACTGTTATCATATATTTTCCATGGTTATCACTAACTATTCACTTTTTGCTTTGTCCTCTGCTATTTATGGCATGATTGCATGTAAAGCTTGATTTCTTATTCGCGGTGTGTTGCGCTCCGATAATTCATGTATATAAGCTAATGAGTTTGAGATAAATATACTGGGTGCTTAAAGTACAGTAAAAGAAGCTTGTCTACTCATGACTAAGGATATAAGGCGTGCTTATCGGCGAACCAAATAGGAGTTAATATTATTTTCACCTCCATTCAAGAATAACATTACCAGTTGAAACTTATGATTAGTCAAAGCTTAAAATGATAGACTACAAACGATACAGTACACGTGAGAAATCGAGAAATTAACTAAGACCTTAATTGACCAGTCTTCTCTATATATCGAGTAACGTCGCATTCATAACATGAGTTCGTTATTATTATTATTATTATTATTATTATTATTATTATTAAGCCTTTAAAATTAACCACGTTTTATTTCTTTTCTCATGATAATACAGAATTCAATACGTCATAATTTATCATTAAATCGTTATTTTATTCGTGTACCACGTTCTCAGTCAGAACCTGGTAAAGGTGCATTTTGGCAATTAGACCCTTATTGTGAAACATGTTTAATTAGTCAAGCATTTCGTAAACGTCGTCAAACGTCATCGAAGTCATCATCATCATCAGCTGATTTAAATCAAACTAATAATGCCAATAATAATGTTAATGACGATAGTAATAATAATCAAAATCAGTATGACGGTGACGATGATGATGATGTTGTAGGCGATGAAGAACAACAACAAGAAAAGAAAGAAGGTGAACAAAGAAATGTTTCAGACGACAATAGCAATAACGAGAATAGTATTAATACTAATACTATTGATGTTAATAATTCTGCATTTCCTGTAACATCTCGTGAATTATTTTTCAATGATAATAGTCAACATAATCCATTAAATAATAACACATATATTGGTAATAATAGTAATGTCTCAGCTCCTCATTGTGTTTTTGTACAATCGAATTATTGTTTAAAACAACAAAATCATCACTTACAAAACATACAATCTTTACTTCATCCTCACTCTTTTTGCTTGTCAAATTCATTATCATCGTTGTCAACACCATCATCACCATCGTCGGTCATGTTTTCGTCATCTGGTGATCAACAACAACGCCAGGATGAGTCTGGTGCAGTAATGCATTATTCGAATGGTTTACCAACAGTCAATGGTGATCGGTAAGATTTACTATTTTATGTTCCCATGAATATGTATTTGTGATAAAATACATGGCCATAAATTTGTAGTACATCCGTCCTTCAATGTTCTGTATATGTACGGATAGCAAAGGTTCTGGGGCAATTTTCTGTCCATTTAGTAAATGAGTGGTGCACATAAGAACATAATTTTTACTGAGGATTTCATTATAAGCTGTAAAGTTGGGTTACAGTGGGCTACAGTGGCGTGTTCGTAAAAGACATGTGGATAGTGTCAGATTATTAAAATGAAACTCAGTGAAAATTACACTCGTATATTCACCACTCACTCACTAAAAGAACAAGAATAATTCTCGAAAATTCTAGATATCAAACTTTTATTGAACTGTGAGGAAAGGATGGTTAACCTCAGACGTATTTATACTATTGGGATGACTGTGTTTTGATACAAAAATTAGTGGTTGAAAACAAAATAATGGTCACTGAAATATGGCCCCCAAACGCCCTGGTACGATCGAGGGTAGAGAGAGTCAGCTCTTCCTCTTGAAACGCTCTCACATGGCCACTCCCAGGGAAGTCATACTCACTGCCTTCTCGTGGCGGGGGTGTTGTTTACGAAATTGAGAGGACTAAAAGCAAATGTCCGGCACTTTAACCGGGTCGGTGGATATTTAGGACCCACCTAGGGGAATCGGCGAACCCTGATTCCAAACGATTGATGTACATGGGCTCCAGTATCCTGAGGGAATAAATAGCGTATGAACCTATTGTTGGTCACCGACCACCATGGGACTGCATCTCCTTACGATGCTCCATTGCCTTGTGAATCAGACCTTTAGGTCGAAGGTTCCAGGTGTGGCCTCCTAAGATAACCACCTGCTTCGGTCTGGGCACCCGGGCAGTATTACAGTCCACATACAAACCGGATGATTTGTGTGGCGCCTATATATTCGGTGTCTCTTTGTATCAATATTTATGTGTTCAAGTAAATAAATAAATAATAATAACTGGAATATGAAAAAGTTTTAACTGAGGTAGGCATATGATATTTGGTAATAAGATATGACTTCACTTATAATACATAACCTGTCCACTTTTTTATTATAAATGTCCATAGGCCTCACAATATATTTGGTTATTAAGTACAATCGACTTGTGTATCTGAATTCATCATATTTTTACATTTCGTCTAGGATGTATAGTTGAGTTAAACTGCTCTGTCCACGTTCTGATAGATCACTTTAGAATATAGAAATCAATGGTCTACGGATTATAAACGTCATGTCACAGGTTTGAATCTCACTATAGAGTTATTTTAGTTTGAGCACTCGGGTAATAAGTGTTATATTCCCTCACATAGAAATTAGTACCCCAACGAAGCTGAACAAATAAATGCGTATTTCGTAAATGATTTACGTTAAATTAAATTTTAGAAAACTTACTATGTCCAAGTGTGTTTAGTGGTAGATGATCTCATCATCATCATATTTCCCAATGCATGGTATATTGTTTAAATGAAATAATGAATAGATTTGTAAAAATGTATTGAGGGCTGTTGGTAATTAAGTGATAAACAACTTTCACTTATAACGATTGATTTAATTAAGTTATCAGTTAGGGTTTGTCAGTTATACGCAACGTGGAACCCGGCATATTTGTGCATTTCAACTTGCCACACTACATTAACACTGCGACATGAAATTATCAAGACAAATCCTAATATTTCGGAAGTATTAACGGTATCAGCAGTAGAAGGAAATTCTACACATAAATAACGTGATTCAAGACGACGGCCTGAATTGGTGGAATTGAAAAAAAAAACGTATCAAATAATTCAAAGAAAAAGAATCAAAATATAAAAGAGGATAAATAATGAGTGCAACTGCGCCATTGCAACCTATTCTAACCCATGTCACGCAACGTCTTCAACTATCGGTTACGATGATTGCACGGTTCCCAACCATTTACTTTACATCTATCAACACGACTCAGTCCGACCGTTAATCTAAGGGCTTGTAACTTTGTGTTGTCCATGTTTAGAACTTTGATTAATAAATCTATGTTGCTATATGTGCTTGGTGAGTGAGTTGTCTCTATACAACGTTATGTCGTAAGCTTTAATATGTAAAGTATAGGGTATCCAGTAAAATCCAAGACACTCATTTCATCCTATATCAATCTGTAACTTGTTCAGGGTACTTATATGACAACAGAGACTAATCATTTGCAATCGTAAATGTCAATGAAGCATTACAAACCTTTTACTAATACTTTCAAACTCATTGAACAAGTTAGTAATTGTACTTAGTAGCTCTGTAGATAACGTGCTCTAGTCATTTTGAAGAGAATTGTACTGGGTTTTCTAGTGCAGGTACATCCGGTTGACAAGTCTCAAATAGGATGAAACACATGTTCTGGATTCCATTGCTACCCTAATGCCAAATATACTAATTGAGTCTTGTTTAAAAGTTTTCATCGAGCAATCAAATATTTGGGTAGGTAAATAACTTTGCCAATGTAGCACAAAATCATACCGATAGGAAAATATTCACTAAATATAATAAATATATTTTTATATCTCTATTCGTAGGAGATTGTATTTCTGACGTTTCATGACTTAATGTAGGTTACTTCTTTAGAGTAAATAAATAACCAGAATAATATATATTCATATATTGGATTATTGATATTCACGAGTATGGATGTGCATGACAGTTACCAAATCTAGAACAAAACAAAGAATATGTAGCTTTTAATAGTTCTGAAGATTATATCAATCAGTCATTCTGTCTGTGGTGAAGCCAACTATCTTTACACTTTAAAATTCTTAACAAAGTAAAAACAATCTATTCTTTGCTCAGTTATATATTGACCCCTGCTAGTCAGTATACTACTACCACTACTACAAGGGTTAAACTAATCTGGTGACTGTTCACATTAGTTACAAGGTTGTTTTTATTCCTACTATTAATTCTTCGCCTTTTAGTGTGTATTTCTTATATAGTCCATTGTTGTTATTATTATTTGTGCGCAGTTCATTATAGTTGTGTTTATTTATACATATAAATACTTATCATAGAAAATTAAGGTGAATCTACTTTGTGAATTAAATTACTTCAATTATTATTGTTGTTAGTATTATTATTATTGATATTATGAGTTATCACTGGTGTAATTATCATTATTATTATTATTACTAGTTATATATGGTACTATCTTTATTGTCCTCAGCTGACCTTCGTGCATGCTTTCGATTTTACTGCTGTTTACATTCACTGTTTACACATTCATTTGCTCTCATTCTCTCCTTGTTCAACTATGCCACTGTGTACATGTATATGTGTTCAGTTCTATATTTTGTCCATTTATTATTATATACAAATATACAATAAGTAATCTGATTATTTTGTTAATGTATAAAATGCCAGTTGTATTTTCTAAATGTATGTTTTAGTAATCTCCTTATTTATTTTATTTATTTATTTATTTGGTTACTACTAATACTACTACTTATATATTCATTCATGTATTTCATACAGACATGTTTGCACTTTTATAGTAAACTAAAAAAGATGGTGATACGGTGTGGGGGGAAAACAAGAATGTGTGTGGTAATAGTGATGATGGTGATGATACAATGAATCTGAGATGTTGACCTTTGTATTTAGTATGGCGATAGCATATCCTGCGACTTGTGTGTATGTTTGGATGATTACCTACTTTACATTATATGACATAGTGCCCTTATGATATAATATGTGAGGAAATAAGTTATTTAGGTGTTCGTTTAGCCAATTGTACAAACAATATGGACAGTTGGTTGAAATTTTGCAATATTAATTCAAATCTATCTTGTTTGTTCTTTTGTCATTATTATAGCTCTTTTTTTTATTATTATTATTATTATTATTATTATTATTATTATTATGTTCTTTTGTGCGTTATCGATGTGGTTGAAATTTAGTTCATTTGGGCTATAACTCAAAATCAGCTGAGTGAATGAATTGGTTAGTTAGCTAGTTAGTTAGTTAGTAGTAGTTGTAATAATAGTGCAGTGCCACGTGACCTTCATCTACCCATATCAGCTGAAGACATTAGTTCATTAGTTGACGATTGTCTTATTTGTGTTTTTGTTGTGTTGTGATGTGTGGTATGCGTGTATATTGTATTGTATTGTATTGTATTGTATTGTTTGTTTGTTTGTTTGAATACTCAATAAACTGTGTATTTGTTATTGTTATTGTTGTGTATTATTTGTACAATGTGCGTGTGTGTGTGTTGCGTGGACTGATTGTTTATCGTTGATTATGTAATTGTGTTTTTGTTTTGTTGTGTATGTGCCTTGGTGTGATGATAGTGTACTGTTTATTTATTTATTTATTCATTTGTTTAAATATTGGATTGTTGTGTTTTTGTGTAAAAATAATTGAATTAATTTGCTCATTCATGTGTTTATGGATTTGTTGTTGCGTGTTAATGTCCGTGTTCTGGAGTGATCTTGTGAGTGTATATTTATGCCTATGTTTATATATGTATTTAAATGTATCACTGTGTGTGATAGTAGTTTCCATTGTGTTTTTTTTTGTGTGTGTTTGTTTGCATTCGCATATCCACTTTGTAGTACACTTGGATTAATTATAGACAATGAATGGACTCGTTTCTCCATTCTTAATTTGTTTATTATGGACATTTTTAATTTTCTATTTCGTATCCATTTCTTCTTTTAAAATATCTTAATTTTTGCTCTCTCTCTCTCTTGCACACACACTCATCGATAATACATTCTCATATGATGTAACATATTTGTTGATTAATTATGATTTCATATTTCTTATTATCCCTAACACAAAATGACAAACATATTTAGTCGTAATGGTAATAATAATAATAAGTTGAAAAATAGTCAATCATTTCAATTAAGTTCAATATTATTAATGATCAATATAAAAATAATGATGTGTATTTGTTTTGTTCATAAAAAATTACATTCTTGAAATAATTGTTTGTTTTTTACTGATGTA